CTATCATGAACAATGATTGATGGAAATATGAATCTTATATATCGATGAACGAGCTTATAAATTGTAAAAAACTTTCACAAAAATCGCTTTACAAAGGAAATTAGGCAGATTTAAGCGGGAACAGTGGACATGCGCAGTGCGTTTTTCACCAGTGTCACTATTAGTCGGTAAAATAGACACTTATAGTTACTGTATATTTTGATTGTATTTCATGGTACAAGTGCGTTGACTCTACATTGTTTGGTCAAATAAGGTAGGATGAAATTCTGTATAATATGTGATATTAAAAAAAACGAGTAGGAGTGTTTCTAAAACCTGGGATTCATGTTCCTAAAAATTACCATCGATGTTTTGAAAAAAAATATGCTTTGGAACACGCTGTTTTCTGAAACGACGACTTCTTAAAAAATAACAATTGGCATTCTTGTTTTCTCTAAAGAGAAGAGATTCTACTTAAGCAGAACCTTAACTTCGTTAGTGAATTGTATTTCTTTGTTGAAAAAAATGCATGCAATCTAAGATTCAAATTTGCCCTTGATTCGTCTTCTGCGTGTCAGAACAAACATGAAGCTCTTTCGCAAAGTTCAAACTGGCGATTAACAAGAGAAGGACTTTGCAAGATCAGTGCCACCAAGCAAAAATATTTAATGAAGTAGGCACACAAAATTTTCGAAGAATGGCAGAGTCAACGACAAAATAGAGATCCTAAAAAAGAAGCTTTGATGTGGGACATAAAAGATATTTCTACCGCCATATTGGTAGACATATCAAGTTTCAAAAACACATGTAAATGTGTGCAAAGTTACCCCACATTCGATAGTTTAATCAGTTTTTTCATGGATTTTAGCATAAGTTCGACGGATTCGAAGAAATCAAAGCGTGTTCAAGATATCTATACTACCATTCCACTCTCTGAGTATGGAACAGGTTCAAATCATAGGTATTGACCCCATGCTACGACGCCACGACGCGTAGCGGAGTGGTTTCCAGCTTTTCGAGTGCTCTCCCTACATCCCAAGTGTTTTGATCAGAGTATCAAACACGGAATTTCGTCTTTTATTTCTTTTCTAAAATTAAAAGAATACGAAAATTGTAAAGAATTCTGACTTTTGATACGATATGAAACGA